GTCAATGAATGCAAGAAAATAACATCAGATACATTAAGAAACGTTAATGAGTTATTAATTTCTCGATTCAGAAAGTGTACTGATGCAAATGGTCGCCACATTGAACYTTTTTTGTAAATAGACATAAAAATTAAAATATCTCCTAAARTAATWATTTTTTTACATAAATAGGTTATTACTTTTTTGTAAATAATATGAAAGAGCATCAGATGATGCATTAAAATATATATGATTCCGTTTAAAAAAACATTAATGACTCTCATATGTCCTTTACACGTCCACCTATAAAAAAAAAATACCATCAGTATGAGCCCCTTTCAAAGCCATTCAACTCCATGTGAAACATGATCTGCTACGCGTAATAATAATAACGTAAATCTAGATGGTAAAATGTGGTGACCCACCAATATATATATATATCGACGTAAAAAGATTGATTTAAAAAGAGAGAAAGGACTAGTCGATTAGGATTTCATATGTTTTTATTGAATCGAATCATTTCCTTCTCTATAATACATGACTGCAGACATATATGTACTGAGAAATTCATTAAATTGCGAGTGTTTATCATTTAATTCTTCAAGAATTAATTCGAAATTCCATCGTATAATGTACCATTACATTATCGTCTTAACTTAATGTCGATTAGATCCTAGATTGATAGCCTAATCGATGCGACATCGGCCGAACGAAGTGCAAACGAAACGTACGTTTGAGCTTTGTTTGACGATAGTCCCATCTTATTATTTTTGGTATCGTTACATCGTATGTTTTAATTAATCTTATTAACGAACAGTAAAGATGACGCAATAGAAAATTCTTGGTACATAAAAGTTGCGCGGGATACGTCTCGTTCTTTCGTCGCCGGGTCTCGGAGAAAACAGCTTTCATTGTTCTTGTTCTTTTTTTTGTATCTTTTTCTTTTAATTATTAATTTTTATTTCTTTCGTGTGTCTTCGAGAGATCCAAACTCATGAATAGAGAATTCGGTTGCCCGCTCGGCGAGTATATTCTTATTTGTATATTTAAATATTAATTACCTTTTCTTTTCCATTTCTTTTTTTTTTATATATTTTTTTTCATATATTATTATATATTCTTATCTTTTTTATTCTTTTTTTTTTTTTTATTTTCATAGTACGTGCCATCGTCAAAGTTATGCAACGCGATCAGAGACTACTTGTCGAGATAAGACATAAATCGCCTCGTTTGAGCGAGGGATCTACCCTTCTCTCTTTCCCTTTTTCTACGGAATTTTCTAGATCGTCTAAAAAGGTCTCGATCAAAATGATTTTTCTTTTCGTGCAGAACACGGAACGGGAATGGGAACGGGAAGCGAGGGATTTTTTTTTTCTTTTTAAACTGTTAAATTATTGTTAGCAAGGAGATCGCGTATAAGACCGAAGACTTTTTTCATTTGTTTTATATTATTTGGTGGTCCATTACTTTCTTCTCACGTTTTATATCGTTCATCGTATCAAGCTCGGTAACTTTTTGTCGAATCGGATATGTGTATTTAAGTGTGTATAATATGTGCGACCCGTAAGAGCTAATTATTGCTTTAGAAAAAAGATAAATGAACCATTTTTATATGGACTTATTCTGAACTGATCGATCATCTAGATCGTCCTTCATGATCAAAGGATCGAATTGTTTAATTGTATTTTATTATTTTCTTTTCTTTTTTTGTTTTGGCGAGTGGTAGGACGAAATTATCGTCTCGGGTATTGTATAATAATTATAATAATATCATTAATACATATGTGCAATACCGTCATCGTAAGAAAAGATGGTCTAATCATATTTTGCACAATATATACGATACAATGAAACTTGTTGATATACTATCATAATAATATGAAAATATTTATAGCTCGATACGTAAACCTTAAAGTCTTCGTCGCTTAAGGCGCTTCATGTTTGTTTTAAATATTGGATTTTTAACAAGGTACGTACTTATTACATACATATAACCGAATAATTACTAAAGATTCATTATAAACATTTATCTGTATAATCAGAATCTAGGCGAATGTTAAACGGTTCAGATTAAGATTTGTTTTTTTCTTCTTTTGTCTCTTGATTAATTAAAACGAGTCTCTAATAAAAATCGCTGATGATGCTTTTAGCCTTCTTTGAACTCTTACTTGCCATTATGCATTCTTTTATATTCTCATTTTAATCACTTTTACACGAACGCTTTATCTTCTTTCCTTCTTATCTTCCATCACTTACATACATATATATATGTATATATCTATGCATACGTGTATATATGTATATATATATTTATATACGTATACACACGTATTTTCTTTATAATCCTTAAAATTACGTGGATACGTAATAAATCTTTGTATAACGCCACTAACAGGATACATAAAAGGATCTTACGTCCTATGTTTTTCGTCATTCTTTTACCATCTTTTGAGAAAAAAAAAATAAAGATTACTTAAAAACATTTTTAATCACACATATTTCGTAATGTTCTTAACGTAATCTCTGTATTTTTTTCTTATTATTTTATTTTATTTTTTTTTGTCATTTTCTTATGTACAGAGATTCAACCAGAAATGGTCGGTATTTAAAGTGCCGAGGAATATATGAGCCAATTAGTAACTAAATTACATAATTATGATCTTTTTGTTAATGGTAAAATTGGAATAAAGGATGTTAATTTTTTTTTCACGACGTAAACGGCGTGCATCGTTTAAATTTTCTTTTGTCTCGTCTCGTAAAAGTGTCGTTGGAAATTCTTTTATCGGTCGATTCAAAATACAGACAGAAAGGATGAGAGAGAGAGAGAGAAAAATATAGAAAGAGATAAAGATATAGATAGAGAGAAAGAAGAGGATTCGTAAAACTGGAGATAGGAAGATTCCTCGCCAATGGATTTTGCTCCGTAGGTGTCCTTCAGATTTATGGTAACGGATGTATTTAGGTCAACGCGATCGGTCTTCCTTGTTGTGTGTTCCCCATTTTTAAAGTTCGTTCGCACGTTCACTCTCATTCGTAGCCCACGACGAATTCAATTTGAATACGACTTTATAAAATCAATTTACTCGAATAAAACCTGTCAACAATGACGTGTCGTAAAGGAATATGTAATTTTCATACGCGTTTAAAATATCCTCTCTGTCTCTCTCTTTCTATATATATATATTTTTTTTTTTTTCGTGTAGGTGTAAGGGAAGGATAGTTAATGGAACTAAAAGAAATAATAAAACATCGTTTTAGTCGTAGTCGTTGTAGCCGTTCATGACGCCCACG